GTCATCTCCATCAAGATAAAACAATGGAGGGTCTTCATAAGCTACAATTAGGAAAGCATGGGTTAAGGGCTAGACAGACAGCAGACGGAGCACTTCCTGCAGCAGCATCTCAGGGGGAAAGCTGTGCTAAAACCCTGAGAAGCACCGCCAACATCCTGGTCTCCAACATGAGAAATGGGAGCTGGAGAATCAAAAAGAAAAGAAGACAAGTGAGCTGGCAGGTTGAAGCTAAGCAAGTTCTGGTTCCCCCAACATACTGCTAAATTTAGTCACTTTAAGAATGTACAATTTGGCTTTTTAATGACCTTAGAATGAGACATGTTGGATTCAAATCCTTTCTCAACCGTCTTATCTATTGGCTCTGTAGTTTTGACAAAGTGTGTAGCTTCAGCCTCATGTTTAAAAAATTAAATAAGATTACATATGTTATTTTAAAGCACTTAACATTGTACCAGATGCACACAACATGATCAATAAATGTTAGCTCGCTCCAACCTCCTACCATCTTTGGCTCACCAAAGAACTACTAGGGTGAAGGATGAGAAGCCTGCTGTATGAAGCCTACGGTGAATAAAAGCTGTTGGGTGAATGGACAGTTCTGCTGAAGCTTTGGGTACCCCATTAAATCACTAATAACAATTTTGTTTCCAAACGTATCAAAACAAGCTTGTCAATTTCTATTGCAACATTAATAATAGTTTTTGTAACAAGCCAATCTAACCTGTAAATTATTCAGCTTTTTAAATAATTGATACTTAAGTGAAAATACGACTACAAAATGAGCAAACATAAAAACGAGCAAGTAAATGAATAAAGAAGTAAAATTAGTTAAGTCTAAGAGAAGGCCATTTTCAAATTGTAACACTGTTACTCTAACAATTAAGCCAATCAGATACTCCCCATAATTTGTACCTCGTTCCCTCCCCTAATGTCTGTACCCAAACAGCACTGCTGACACCCAAACTAAGTACAGACTGACAAAATCAGCAGGCACTCCCAGTGCATATCAGCCATTTTAGAGCAAATAAAGTCATTAAGGAAAAACAATGCCTAACCTTTCCGCTTGACTCTGCTAACAGCAGGTAACTTGCCTTTCAGGGATATGAGCCTGCATTGAAGTGATCAGTACTTGACCTTCATTTTCAGTATATGCAGCATTAAATATTCATAATCCATATAACTGTGACTTCAGATGTAGTCGGTTTAAGCATGAATCACATATGTGAGTCATCCTTTCCCAGCATGCCCATGAAGAAAAAATGCAAATCTGTAGCCCCAAGCTGCTTTCTCTGCCAACTTTCTCTTAGAAATCCAGAAGCTCCTGGGACTACTGCATTACATAACCCAGGAAACCTGCCCTCAGGCTGACACTGTGAGGTCTTTCGATTTCTTATCAGAGAAGAATTATTGAACCGGTGTCAAAGGGAAGACAGAAACAGGTGGAAAGAGCAATGGTGACATTATCACCCAGAGGGGCACCCAGGGGCATTTTTTACTTGGCTGCACACTCCTTCAAAAAAAACCCTTGTCCCTGTGTAGCAGTATGTGTGGGAGCAGAGGGTCAGACGCAACATCAGAATTAGGAGCTAGAGTGATGTGTGCCTTGAATCAGCTGTGAAATCATTAACAAACAACAAAAATAAGGTGGGTAGGGAGGTACTTCTTTGAAGCTATCTGTACTTGAGTGGCTAATTGGAGATTTGGGTGGGGGGGGGGGAATATGTGTGAAACATGTCTCTGTATTTGCTAAGACATGGACATTTATATGGAGCCAAAGACTGTGGAGAACATCTCCTTCTGCCTGGTTATTTCTAGAGAGTTCACTGCTGGGATGATGAAGCACAATTTTAATGTAGTTTAATGCAATTCTCTTTGGCTGCTTTCAACTGCAGGAGCTCAAGGACAATCTGTCTTTGCTAGAGACCCATCTCTTGTGGCTGCACAAGCGATTCTTACACAGAAATCACTCTAGGAAAAACTAAGACCCAAAGAAGGGTTTCTCAACCCTTGAATACAAAGGACCTACTTGGGGACCCACAACATCCTAGCAACTGAAAAGAAAAGCTAGGCTGGGGAGGACTTCTTTGGAAATGAGGTACCTATTACTTCTTTAGAGTCAAATAAGTTTTGAAATATTTTTAAAACCTTAAAATCACCAACTATAGTATTTATCTGCTCTTTCTTACCCACCTGCTAATGACCAGGAAGAAGAAAAGGCACCAGCTTATCTCTCTATTTGTACAACCTGAATTGGACTGCCATCCTAATGAATCACTGGAATGCGATTTATATAGTAATCTGCGTATCTTGTACTTTTCCGAGGGGTAAGTACAGAGAGTCTCACATCTTGAACTTCTGATTCTTGGCAATACATAACTATTCTGGGAAGGCCAGCACTGGTTAAGTTTATAGGTACAAACTATCTCCTGGACAATGTCGTCCCAATTAGGTTCACTCTTGGAAAGCTTATAGACTTTTTGGAAGAGTTTAAATACTGAGTACTTTTTTCAAGTTTAATCAAAATTATTTTCAAGAGATGTTTAAAGCTAGTTTTCCAGGATGCCCAGATGACCAACCAAATCATGAGTATATAAAACGGGTGACAATTTTAAATGTAAAAAGATGGATTTGTAAGAATTTATATTCTAAATGATATTTCTCATCCTCTTTCAATTTGCTTCTTATGCACATGGATAGAATTTCATTTTATCTTGGTAACTAAGTTTTATTATAATTTATTCAATGGAATCTTTCTGTAGGTAGACTTATCATAAGTGTTACTCCATAGATACTATTGGATCCTTATATTTACTTAAACTGAGCATGCCTGCTGGCTATCCCCAGAATAATGGGAGCTCGATGGGCTCTGTACTAACTGTGCTTATCAGGTTCTCTATTAAACAGAATCCCATAGAATTTATCTTTTAATTAAAGGTTTACATAAATGTTTGAAGTCCCCTCACATGAACCCTTTCTATAAAGGAAGCTGACCTATGTGAGGCCAAAGAGCCAAGTGACAAGAAGAAAGAGAATGACTGAGGCCGGGGAAGTGCCGGGGAGAGAGAGCAGTCTGAAATCTAAAAGGTTTGGCATTTTGTGCTGGGGAAGACGGAGAATGGCAATGAAGGTCCATCACTGGGTCAGATTCTTGGTACTCCCATGAGAAAGATCAGGGAGGAGTCACAGTGTTGGGTTTTCCAATTCTTAGGAGAATCATAATTATACGCAAAGAGTAATGAGGTAGGTAGGGTAGTCAGGGGAGAGGGAGGGTTCCATCCCTCTCCATCCTCTCAAATGGAGGTGGAAACATCAGAGTCCATGAAGGAAAAACTGCCTCATGGTAGACAATATAAAAAAAGACACCAGAAGATCCATATGCCAAGAGCTTTTATTTTTGAGAACTACAAAGGCACAAACAGGGGAGGGAGGGAAGAATGGAAGGAGACATATGTTATTCTAACCATTTTCCACATTCCTCTCCACAGAGAGGTTCCCTCACGGGGACATATGCCCACACCTACTTCCCAGATCCTGGTTCTGGAGGTTGACGGGGTATCCAACCCATGATGCATGAGAGCTTTCCTGGAGAAAGACAACCGAGAAATAAGATGAATGCATTAGGAGATTACTGGTCCAATACAAATATGGTCCAGAATTATTAAGAGTAAATCTTTAAAAGGAGCTTACCTTCAATGACACAGTAAACGGAATTTGTTAAAGTGAGAAAGCTCTTCTTGTTCTTGGCCAGGCAGAGTTGCTGGAGGGAGAATGTGGCATCTTGTCTCCAGAAAGACTTTTAAAGGCATCTCCATCTAAAGAGTCCAGAGCAGCCCAGCCCTGTGTGTGAAGGTGGGCTGTAGGGTTCTCAGACTTGACTGATTCCCAAAGACAGATGAAAAGAGGAAACTGTGTATTTTCCCCAACATGACATTTTGACCTGTACTCAATCAAGTGCACCAAATCTTTGGCTGCCGATCAGCTGGTTCTATGAGATTCAGAGTTTAAGTATTAAAATGCCCACTGAAGACTAGGTCAATAGTGACACCAGGTATGCTTTCCTAGGATCAGAGTCGAGTATCCACCCACATTAGAGTCAGAGTTAAAACCACTGGACACTCGGGGTAATGAACTTGCCAAAGTTGTCAAGTTCATGTCACAACACAAAGTCAGGCAAATTTCAGTTCTGTTTCCAATTCCTAGTTGATCTCACCTTTAAGTTTGCAATGAGAATAGTTGGAACAAAGGATGCAGCCATGGGTGACACTTGCAGGCATCAGGGAAGACCTGACTGCCATCTTGCAGCCTTGGGCAGCACTCTCGTCTGCCTCCTGGAAGGTCGTTCCCATCTATTGCACAGATCCCATCCCAAGCTCCCCTAGAACCCCCGTTCCCTCTGCTCTTAGTCTGCTCCAGAATCGAGGAGCTCTCAGATGGCTGTGGGCCTTCACCTCCAGAAGTCATCCTGAACGCAACTCATCTCTGTACCTTGACAATTCAAGAAGCACCACTATATACTGCTTCTCCTGAATATTCAGTTAGGAAAGTGCACAAAATAGTGCCTTGCCTTCTTGTCTGAATTGCAATAAGCTTGAATCTCTGGGCTCCCTAATGAGAAAAGTATCCTACAACCATGATACCAGTGGCTCAGACCTTCATCTATTAAACACTGTAATCATTCCAGAGGTTTTAAATTCACATTAAAGCCCTCTTCCCTCTTGACATCTTTGGTGAAGATACAGAAAATAGAAGTTTAAGCATAAGACCCAGCAAAAAGACATGATCCCTCCCCCAACCTCCTATGCCAGCAGAATCTACGTAGCTTTCTTCTCAAGAGTTTCTGCAGTCAGAAAAGCAGCAGAGTACATGCCTGCCTTCCCCTAAAAGGTTTCTGGACTCAGGAGATTCTTGCAGAAGTTGATTAAAGCAAACCTCTTCATTGAGGTAAAGGCTCAGAGTTTTTTTTCCGAAAAGGGGACATGAAAATGCATTTGAATACTCACTTTGATGAATCAATGAAGTATATTACAAGTGCACCAATGCTGAGAGCAAAGACTAAGACCACCTGCAAAAGAAGAAAAATGCCATCACTTACAAGCTCAACATCAAGAAGTGCGGTGTTGTTGTTTTTTAATTTCGAAAAATGCAGAGCAAACTCCAAAACATTGTACCAGTTACTTTCTTGGGTGGCCATGTCCAAGTCCTAAATGCCCACTGACATCACGAGGATCAGCAACCTCACTCCTTGCCAACAGGGGTCAGGACAGACTTACGTATCCTAAGGCCTGGGCTTTTAACCCACAGCTCAGCTCCCCCACAATGGAAGGTAATGATCTTCAGTGGGAAAAGACCAGCTAAAACTTAGGGTGATGCAATTTTCATATTATATGTAACCTAGGACCCAAGTTCAAATATAGGGAAATCCATCTTCACAGTTTTGTGGAAGTATGATTTATATACCATAAAATTCATCCATTTTAAGGGCACAATTTAATAATTATTAAAAATTTCACAAAGTGTACAACCATCAGCACAATCCAGTTTTAGAGTATTTTTATTATTCCAAGAAAATATTTCATTCTCATTCCCACTGTCCAGACTCAGACAATCACTTTCTGTCTCTATGGAAGAAATAGCAATCTGAAAAGTACAAATTTGCCCATACATATGTTCAGGGGTATGTATTTATGTATATTCATTGCATATATACTATATATAAACATATACATATGTATGTGTATATAACATGTACATATATGTGTGTGTGTTTCCACAGCCATGTCCAGTTGCTGCCAAGTTGAAAGTGATTAATGGCAACCATATACAAGGGGGCTTCAAAAAGTCTGTGGAACAATGGCACTAAAAGATAATGGCAAGGGAACAAGTTATCTAAAATCAATGGTAAGGAAGGCGTAAAATGCCTTGTGGGGTTTGATCAAGTGCATTGTAGCAGAGAGGAGTTACCGAGAGCCGAATGAAGGTCAAACATGATAGTGGGACAGGAGGAAAGGAAATGGAGGAATGAAGTAGGAAGCAAAAGACAATTATAGATGCATAAATACAGGCATGTACATATGTAAATATATTTGTATATTTCAATAGGTATATGTACGTATATTTATATGTTAAATATTAAGGCAGCAGAAAGACATTGGGCCTCTACTCAAGTACTCCCTCAATGCAAGAACACTTTATTCTAATAACTTGGCATTCTGTGATGCTCACCTGACACGATTGCTGAAGACAAATGAGTGCATAAACAAATGCGGTAAAAAAAGCTGATGGTGCTCAGCTATGAAAAGATATAGCATCTGATGTTTTAAAGGCTTAAAGATAATCAAGTCACCATCTAGCTGTGAAGCAACAAAGCCCACTTGAAGGAAGCACACCAGCCTGTGTGATTACATGGTGTCGGCAGGATCAGGTATCAAGCCTCAGATAACCCAAAACAATCAGACCAATGTGAACAATGGGGATTAGAGTGGAGACCCAAAGCCCATCTGTAGACAATTGGACATCCCCTCACAGAAGGGTCACAAGGAAGGGACAAGCCAGTCAGGGTGCAGTGTAGCACCGAGGAAACATACAACTTTCCTCTAGTTCTTTAATGCTTCCTCCCCGCCCCCCACTATCATGACCCCATTTCTACCTCAGAAATCCAGCTAGACTAGAGAATGTACACTGATACAGATAAGAGCTCTCGACATATGGAATCCAGGACAGATAACTCCCTCAGGAACAGTAATGGGAGTAGCAATACCATGAGGGTAGTGGGAAGGTAAGGGGAGAAAGAAAAGAAAGGGGGAACTGATCACAAAGATCGATGCATAACCCATCCTCCCACCCCAGGGAGATGAACAACAGAAACGTGGATGAAGGGAGACTGCAGACGGTGTAAGATATGAAAATAATAATAATAATAATTGATAATTTATCAAGGGTTCACAAGGGTGGAGGAGGGAGGGAAAAAAAGAAGAACTGATGCCAAGTAGAAAGAAAATGTTTTGAAAATGATGATGGCAACATATATACAAATGTGCTTGATACAATTGATGTATGGATTGTTAGAAGAGACCCCAATAAAATTATTTTTATTAAATAAATATATATATAATGGAATTTTGCCATGATCATTTTGAACCCCCCTTGTGTGTGTGTGTGTGTGTGTGTGTCTGTGTGTGTGTGTGAGAAAGGGAGAGAAAGAGAGGGAGAGAGAAAGAATGAGAATCCTTTGCTATGGTTAGATATTTTGAGCCAGAAGAAAGGCCTAGCTGTTTATTTCCAAAAAAATCAGCCATTAAAAATTCTACAATTCTACTTTGACACATAGTCATGAGTTGGAATCAATTCAATGGAAACCAGTGGCAGTAGAGGCATGTGCATACAAATAGACACACAAACATATGACATTAACATAGCTCAAGTATTTAGGAGAACAGAGCAGGTACAGTAGGAAGGTAAATTAGGTAATACATTGGGCTGGTTTATGCGATCATCCTAATTCTTCTTTAGACTTTTCAGTTAAGATTAATCACTTGATATAAAAGATAGCTTTGGCATTTCCTTCGATAGGCATCTGTCTCACTAAAGTCCATCAAATAAATATGGCACAAATCACATTAGTAATGACACTTCGGCCCTCACCCCATATTCTAATTTGTTTATTCTTTTATTGAGGAGACTGTTTTTATTACTACTACATATGCTCAAAAATAAAGAAAAAGAAATGAATAGCCAACAATTGAGCTTAAGGGGAGGGGGTGTGGAATAGCCAAATTTGAGCTAAGAGAAAAGGTAAAGATAACTATAACATACAAGGCTAGGTCAACAAATGCCTTTTCCACCTACCCATAGCACTACAGGAGACACAGTGCGGGAATTGTGCCCGATCTGACCATACCACACCAGGGTGAAACACTAAGGGCATACAACAGAGCAGCAAGGGGAGCAAAGCAATGAAGCCCCTGGGGAATCCTGAAAATAGACTTTGGAGCCA